CTGCTGACAGTGGAATTTGGAAGTGGGTGACCCTATTTATACCCCTCCATTGCATCCAGAAAGAGGCCAAGAACTGACCTCCCATAAACTTTGTGGTGCTCAGTTACTAACAAAGTTAGGAAATTTATCTTTCTTTTTAATGGAAATCTGTTGTTTCTACCTGAATGCTTCTCAGGAAACAACTCAAAGAAACATGCAGTTATGAACATTTTCTAAAGAAAACATAAAATACAAGTTGCCACTCACTTTCCTATAATCATTAAAGAGAGAGCTTTCCTCAACAGAGAAAATTCAGAACAACTTGAATTCCTCAATAGAGGGAAGACACAAAAACATAGACCCAGGTTTCCACGTACTTCACAAGACAACTGTAAAGTCAAAATGGTTAAAGTCAATGATATACTAACGGGCTAGATAGGGGCGCAACGGCACAGCACGAGGCTCTATGAAGCTGCCCCATGTCTGGAGAGATTCGAGTCCAGGTCTGGAGACCTCCCTGAGTACACTGGGAATGTGTGCTCATGCTCTGGGCTGGCTGAAGCTAGGGGTGGATTGTGGCATCAGGACCTTGTCAGAGGCTGTATTGCTGTCTCTCTCACTCACAGCATAAGTAACATTTTAAAAAGGTTTAATAACAAAAAGATATGCTAAACTCTCCTCTCAGGAGACAATTCAGCTTTTATTTATTTATTTTAATTAATGATGTTTCTTAACACTTTTTAAAGAACTTACTTTATTTATTATTATCATTTTAAAATATGAACAGAGAGAGAGAGGGAAAGGCAAAGCGAGAAAGCAAGCTGACCGGTCGAGGACTCATATAGTGGTTGGCCGTGTGGGAGTCCAGAGCCCCAGTCATCACCTCATCCATTGGTCCTACCATTCAGCTTTTAAATATATTTTGAAATGGTGGGTGGGGGGGACTTCAGCTTGAGCTTACATGAAATTCGCTGGGGGTTCAGGCATGGTCAGTGAACTAATGGGACACCTGGGAAAGGCAGTAGTCTAAGCATAGGACACTTGACCTAGGAACAAAGTTTAGTCCCAGGACCAGGGATGAATCTGTGTGTAGCCTGATGATCTGGATTTGCCTCCCGGTCCAGCACCCGCATCTCATGCTTAAATCCTTCAGAGGAAGAAAAAGAAAGAAATGGATCCTACAACTACTTCACTGAAGATCTCAGTCAGACATTAAGACATAGAAGACTGAGGGTTGGGAGGAAAAGCTCTTGAATCAGATTCCTGGGCTCAA